AAAAATTCAACTAAGTTCTGCAACGCATACCAAACACGACCCCAGTTATCCTGAAACTCAACATCACTGATATCATGAAATGAAGATGGCATCACTTTGAAACCCTTATCCACATCATAGAGGGGATTATACTCCATGGAAGAATTTGCAAGCTGCCATCAATGCTATATTAGCACATTTCAATTGTTTTACACAAAGCAACAACTATTACTAGAATTTTAAAGCAATTGACAAGATGAAGCACTTTCTGCAAGTTTCTGCATATGTTTTATAAAGCAAAAGGACCTGATACAATTGCCTCTTGCGTTAGGAAAAAAAAGTTGTAAGCTAGTTGAATAATGAACTCAGTTTGTTCGCATAGCCAAGTACCATCTACAAAAATACTCTGCATAGCATATAATTGATACTATGTTACAATCTAATACCAACAACGCCAACAATATGCCAAACTGATGTGATAGGGACTTCAGTTGTATTAGATTCTGTGGTATAAAAAATATGCAACACAACACAAATACTTCAGAAACCAAATCTCTTCCACTTTTTACTGGTCTACACCCAAATTCCAGTTGTATTATACTGCAAATCCTTTTCCTCCCAAATTTTCAGCAACCGGATGACGCATTGATGAATAAGAATGAGATGTTATAAGCCCAGTGAGGCAAACAAGAAACAGGTTCCTTTTTGAAAGTTGTAAATGGTTCATTATCAAAAGGCTGACTGTAATTACTAGGAGTGTATGCATTTCTGACAACAGGATGTTGTTATATATGTCACTAGCATTACCATGATTGCCACAAAACCCCTGATCACCCCCCATAGTCAAAACCCCTCGCCACTCCTATCATCATATCTTCATATGTTGAATACCAATATACCATTTTAAGATCACCAATCCGGCTAAATTATTCAGAATTACCAATATACCATTTTACAAATGTTCAGTAAAGTTGTAAGAACTTAAGGTCTTAAGCGATAATAACTCACAAAACAACAAAGTTAGTCATAGCAGGCCATGGACGAACCTGCAGATTAGTAGAATTAAAGGCACCCAAGCGTCCCATAACATACCATGACTGAATAACCTGCATAAATTTCCCAGTAGAATCAGTGGAAATAATAAATCATCCAGATAGGAAAAAAGAGTGTTTTTCTAAGGCCTAATGTTCAAAATACAGAAAGGAAGCAATTGGAAATACACTGCCAAAGAGCTCGACGTCACGATCAGATGGCGATCCATAGAATTCAAACCATATGTAGGAATCAAGAGGATTGAAGCTGCCAGGCACCAAAAGAACATTTAATAATATTAAAGAAAAAGCGTAGTTTGCATTTTTTTTTTAAATTTTACAAATCAAATGGAACACTAAGCTACGTTATGCAGACAAGAAAGAAAGAAAGATGAGAAATTTACTCTCTGAAGGTGACTTTGAAGGCAAGGACAGAACCGGTTTTGGATTTACTGAAGTCCCTACCCTTCTTGCGAAC